TTTATCCTCTCTCTTTCTCATTCTCACTCTGGCTCTTACTCTTTTTTTTTTTTTTTTTTTTTTTGGTTTGCTAACTCCAGCTGTTAATTACCTCATTACACAATCAGGCCATTGTGGTTTATGTTGCCTGTTTTCTTGCAGTATGATGCTTATTTTCCAGTTGTATTCTACTGTTTTCTCCCCAAATATAATTTCTTTGATCAACATATTGGCTGCCATTGCTGCGCCACCAGGGAAGCCCCCTGGCTCTTACTCTTGCTCTTCCTCTCTCCCCAACACAAATATTAAAATACAGTGTTATGCAACTTGCTTTTTTTTTTTCACTTAACAAGAAAAACATCTCATATATGTACATCTATACCTGCTTTTAAAAAAAAGTTTTTAGGGCTTCCCTGGTGGTGCAGTGGTTGAGAGTCCGCCTGTTGATGCAGGGGACATGGGTTCATGCCCCGGTCCGGGAAGATCCCACATGCTGCAGAGCGGCTGGACCCGTAAGCCATGGCCGCTGAGCCTGCGCGTCCGGAACCTGTGATCCTCAACGGGAGAGGCCGCAACAGTGAGAGGCCCGCGTACCGCAAAAAAAAAAAAAAAAAAGTTTTTATTTGGTAAAAAAGCATGTAATATTAAATTTACCATTTTAACCATTTTAAGTGTACAGTTCAGCAGTGTTATGTATATTTAGATTGTTGTGATCTCTAGGACTATTTAATCTTAAACTGAAACTTTATACCCATTAAAAACTAATTCCCTCTCCTTTACCCATCTCCCCAGCCCTTGTCAACCACTTTCTACTTTCCATTTATAGGATTTTGACTATTTAAAATACTTCATATGAGTGGAACCATACAGTATTTGTCCTTTTGTGAGTGACATTTTGCTTAGCATAATATCCTCAATGTTCATCCATTTTGTAGCATACGAAAGGATTTCCTTCTTTGTTAAGGCTGCATAATATTCCATTTTCTTTATTCGTTCATCTGCCAATCGACATTTGGGTTGCTTCCACCTCCTGACTATTGTGAATAATGCTACAATGAACATCAGTGGGCAGTTACCTCTTCAAGACCCTGCTGTCATTTTTCTTGGTTATATACCCAGAAGTGGAATTGTTGGATCATATGGTAATTCTCTTTTTAACTTTTTGAGGAACCTCCATACTGTTTTCAATAGCAGCTTCACCATTTTATATTCCCAGCAACAGTGCACAAGGATTCCCTTTTTACCATGTCCTTGCCAGCATTTCTTCTTTTAAAAAAAATTAATTAATTAATTAATTTTTGGTTGCCTTGGGTCTTTGTTGCTGTACACGGGCGTTCTCTAGTTGCCGCGAGCGGGGGCTACTCTTCATTGTGGTGCGCGGGCTCTTCATTGTGGGGGCTTCTCTTGTTCCGGAGCATGGGCTCTAGGCACACAGGCTTCAGTGGTTGTGGCATGCAGGCTCAGTAGTTGTGGCACACGGGCTTAGTTGCTCCGTGGCATATGGCATCTTCCCAGACAAGGGCTCGAACCCATGTCCTCTGCATTGGCAGGCAGATTCTTAACCACTGTGCCACCAGGGAAATCCCTTGCCAGCATTTCTTATCTCTTGTCTTTCTGATGATAGTCATTCCAACAGCCTGAAATAATACCTCATTGAGATTTTGATTTGAATTTCTCTTATGATTAGTGGCATTGAGCATCTTTTCATATGTTTGTTGGCCATTCATATATCTTCTTTAGAGAACTGCCTATTCAATTCCTTTGTCCGTTTTTTATTCTTTATTTGTCATTGCTGTTAATTGTAGAAGTTCCTTATATATTCTGGATATTAACGCCTTATCACATGTAGGATTTGCAAATATTTTCTCCCATTCTGTAAGTTGCCTTTTTACACTGTTGATAGTTTCCTTTGATGTGCATAAGTTTTAAAATCTGATATAGTCTCATTTATCTTTTTTAGTTTCATTGCTTGTGCTTTTGCTGTCACATCCAAGAAACCAGTTGCCAAATTAAATGACCTAAAACTTTCCCCCTATGTTTTCTTCTAGGAATGTTACAGGTTTAGGTCTTTAAGCCATTTTGAGGTAATCTTTGTATATGGTATAAGTTAAGGGTACTACTTCACTCTTTTGCAGCTGGATATCCTATTTTCCCAACACCATTTATTGAAGAGACTATCCTTTCCCCGTTGTGTAGTCTTGGCATCTTAGCTGAAAATCATTTGGCCATATATGCAAGGGTTTATTTCTGGGCTCTCTTTTCTGTTCCATTTTCTATATATTATGCCAATACCACACAATCTTGATTACTGTTGCTTGGTAGTATATTTTGAAATCGGGAAGAGTATGGTCTCCAATTTTGCTCTTCTTTTTCAAGACTGAGTTGGCTATTAAGGTCCCATGAGCTTCCATGTTAATTTTGGGATTTTTTTCTATTTCTGCAAAGAATGCCACTGGGATTTTAATACAGACTTCATTAAATCTGTAGGTCTTTTTAGCTAGTAGGACATTTTAACAACAGTCAGTCTTGCAGTCCATGAGCATGAGATGTCTTTCCATTCTTTTTGTCTTTCTCTGATTTTTTTAGCAATGCTTTATAGACTTCAGTGTGCAAGTCTTTCACAGCCTTTGTTAAGTTTATTCCTAAGTATTTTATCCCTTTTGATGCCATAGAAAATGAGATTGTTTTCTTAATTTCCTTTTTGGATTGGTTGTTGTTAGTGCATAGAAACACAAGTGATTTTTGAAAAATTTTTATATTAAGGACTTATGTGGTATTATGTTATATGGATAGTATAGTTTATTTCACCAGTCCTCTATTGAGAAACATCTATGTTGTTTCTAAATCTTTGATGTTACAATGTTGCAATGAATAGTCTTGTGAACAACTCATTTTTCACATGTAGAGTTTATCTGTTAGATAAATTCCTAGAAGTTAAATTTCTGGATTAAAGGATATATACGTTCAAAAATTTCATGATTATCACCAAAGCATTATGATTTTGACATAAGATAGTCAGAATTTGTGATGCTGTTTATTTAAAATTATGAGAGTACTTTTTCTTCTAACTTGCACTTTAAAGGTAATTTACCTTGTCTTTCTTCCAAAGCAAATAAGTAGATTCACAAATCACACATTTATGGTCAAGAGTCCAAGAAAGGGGTCTGTGTTGATTTCTGCGGCAACTTGATGAAAAATGTGAAAGTGATGTGTACCAGTGAATTTTTTCTAAAATACAGCTGAAGGAAAGTCTTTGAAAATTATATGTTGAAAGTGATCCCCCATAAATACATCAGTAAAACTTTGTTAGTCATCCTTTAATAGCAAAGATATTCTCTTTATGATTCACAAATAGTGAGTTATTTTATACTTTTAAAATTGTGTGATTATAATTTTGTTATTAAGATGCTTTTCTGTTTGTGGAATTTGCCATTTAAAGCTGCTTAGCATTGAGTCTTGTCCCCAAGAGCTCGTTTGAAAGTTGTGTGACGTCTTCTAACGGAGTGGATCTCCTTTCAAATTAACTGCATTTACTAACCAGGAAAACATAACTTCTGTAAATTGTATGTTTAAGTAATATTTTATGTATAAAAGACAAGAAGAAAATCAGTATTCCAGATACAGAAGGCTGATTTCTACAGTTGGCAATGGTACTTCAGTATCTGAAAGATGACGTGAAATGTGTACAGGCTTCTCTTGATTAAAAAGTTGCCCAAGTCTATCAGATTATCAAAGTGTTCCATTCAAAAAATGCTCATCGCTTGCTATTCCGGTAGAAAGTAGCAACCTTGTCACCTAAACACAACAGGAGCTCTTGCAGATTTCAGGAAGAAGCGAGTAGAATGAACTTTATTTATGGCAGAATAAATTTAGAAATAAAACTTGAAACTATTTGATTTTAGAGAACTGATTTGTGACTTGCAGAGATTACCAATAAACAATTAAATTATAGAACGTGAAAACTGGACAGGCTTTTATTCTATTTTTATTTATTTACTCTGGCCACGCTGCACAGCTTGTGGGATCTTAGTTCCTCGACCAGGGATCGAACCCTGGCCCTCGGCAGCGAAAGCGCAGAACCCTAACCACTGGATGGCCAGGGAATTCCCTGGAAAGGCTTTTAGAGATGATACAGCCAAACTTCTGTAATGAGGTGGAAATAGACCTAGATTGGTTAGTTTGTGAGCCAAGCATCACATCAGACCGGGGAAATGGTCCACGTGTGTGTTCCAAGCAGCAATTTATTCAATACTGAAAAAATTGTGTGCGGATCTCAAGTTGGTCTTATGTTTTATATTTATAATATATATATATATGTAAGCATTCTGGAATGATTAATATTATATATAAATCATCTAGGAAAGTAAAGAACTTGATGATAACCTGGAATATAGGAAATAAAATGTATAGGATGGCCACATAGATTAGTGGTTAAGAGTGTGGTGTCTGATTGGAATCTTGGCTCCACTACTGTGGGACTTTGTGTTTTGGTTTCCTCGTCTAGAAAATGTAGGTAATAAGCGGCTGACTCAAAGGGTATAAGGATTACATGAGACAATCTGGATAAAGGATTAGTATAGTGCTGGGTATATAGTAAACTCTCAATAAATGTAAATTGCTGTTCTTGTTTTGTCAGTATGTCAAAGAAAAGAGGACGGATTAAAAAGCATTTTCAGAATAAAGTCAAAATACGTCACTAGTACTTTCAGGTCAATGGGACTGAATTGGACCCCCTATGAAAAGGTGGAGGGGATCAAATGACGTAGACCGCCTTAGCAACAGGCCCCCAAAGAAGGTGAATTTCTGTACCCAATAGGCATCTGCGCTGCGGAGAAGGCAGCCAATGGATGATGGAAAGACGAAGAGGGAGGACGCGCCAATTCTGCTGCCTGAGCCTCGGCCCAACAAAATGGCGGCGGCGGCGGCGTCGCTTTGTTTCCGCGGCTCCTGCGGAGGTGGCAGCGGTGGCGGCCTTTGAGCTGTGGGGAGGATCCAGCGCCAGCTGTAGTGACGACTAAGAGTCCAGTGCATTTCTATCGTAACTGGGCACCGGGGAGTGCAGAGTGGCGCCCTACGGTCGCTGAAGCCGACAAGGCGTTGAAGCGAAAACATGACTGCTGAGCCCATGAGGTAAAACACAACCCCGTCTCACGGATCCCAGTGGTTTCGGCCTACGCGCCTTCTGAGCCGGGTGTTTGGGAAAGCTTTGGCTTGGTGGGTTAGGCCTGTGTTTTGCTGAGCGGAAAGAGGCATCGTTTTCTCCTTAGGTGAGGAGGGTTTCGGGGTTTCGGCGGTAGGCTCCAACCCGGGGTGGGGGTGGGGGGGCGCGGCCTGGCGTGTCCGGCGCTTTCTCCAGCCTCCCCGAACCGCGGAGCTTAGTTGGTCTCCTCTGTTTATTCTTTGGTGCTTGTGGAATTGAGACCCTGAAGTGGGAGGCGGTTTTTGGTATCCCGGTCTTTCTTCCTAATCTTTGGGCCTAGAGACTGCTAGGGGAAGAAGGGGTGGGGGTGAGGGGTGGGAAGAGGGGGAGGGGCGGTCGGGAGGATGTGAGATCCTGGGACGACTTAGTGGCGTTTGGACTGCTGAAGACGGGAAGTACCCCGGCCTTGCGGAATTTTATTTTTTTTTTCTGCAGCCCCTGGGGACAAGCCCATTTTGTGGAGTGAACGGGTGGGTCTTGCCAGTATTCCTTATCTATCCCAGACCCTGAGGGGTATCCATGGATTTACCTATAGGCAAAGGGATACTAACGCAGGGTTTTGCTTCCAGAGGACCCCAGTATACTACTTTTTGTGTAGTCCAGCTTTAAATGGGTGGTAAGGCAGTCCTTAGGTGTTTCTCCAATTTATGGGCAAATTTTGAGCAAAAGTAATTAGACCTTATTTTTGTTTATTTATTTATATATTCCAAGAGGGGTGGGGAGCACGTTAACATGGGTTGATGGGAAGTAAGATCTATTTCAAGGAAGTAGTGCCTGGCAGGCCACCTCTTACCAATCGAGCACGTTTATATTAGGTTGAGGCTGCTTTTCTCTTGTGCTTCTGATTTGCCTCTTGATAGTGTCTAAAAATAATGGGTTGTTAATAAGAAATGTATACCACTTTTACACAGGTGGCTGGCTTGCTTTTCAGACAGTTTGACATTTGACTTTTCATCCCTTGTGAATTAAGTAATTTTTCTACTCTGAGATGTATCCTTGGTGCCTGGTGGCAAAGTAAGATTACAGGGATCATAGATCAGAATTGCATTCATAGTTGGCAAAATATGCTTTTGAGTAACTATTAGGATGGTGTATATATATGTGTGTGTGTGTGTGTATTTATATATATATATATATATATATATATATATACTCTTTAACAGTTTGACATTTGACTTTTCATCCCTTGTGAATTAAGTAATTTTTCTACTCTGAGATGTATCCTTGGTGCCTGGTGGCAAAGTAAGATTACAGGGATCATAGATCAGAATTGCATTCATAGTTGGCAAAATATGCTTTTGAGTAACTATTAGGATGGTGTATATATATGTGTGTGTGTGTGTGTATTTATATATATATATATATATATATATACACATCATCTTAATAGTATATAGGTATATATGTTTTTAGAGCACTTTACCTAGTGTATAGAATTTGGGAATGAACCTATGATTTTTATTGTGCCTATTTTTCTGCATTAACAAGCAGTAGATGGAAGATGTTTTCCTTCCTTTGAGGAAAAAAAATGCACTTTAGTTCTTAGATTATAGATCCCTAGTTGTGTAAGGATTGTGGCCTTGGTTTTTGAATTTGTGCTAATTGGTCAAAGTGCAATAAGCCTTTACGTAAGGGGTATTGGGCACATAAGAGGTACCCAGTACAACTTGTTGGTTAGTTATTATCAGGTGCCCATGTTCCTGTACATGAAGGGTGTACCTTACAGTTAAATATGACCACTAGATTTTACTAAATCTCACAAAGTCTGCCTCTAAAACCATAGCTTGAACTTGGATTTTCTCCCTTTCTTTAGGGTGAGCAAATTAATTATGTATAGACTTTCTGAATAGAATTATTCATTTTATGCCAGGGTCAGTTTTCCTTATGAGCCTTGAATTTTTGTTGATCTTAGTGGTAAAAGTAATAATCATAACTAAAATAGAGTGCTTACTGTTGACTTTTACCTGTGTAATCGTGATTAATTCTCAGAACAACTCTATGGGTAGGTACTTGGTGTTCCCCTTTTTACAGATAAGGAGGAAACTGAGGCATAGAGAGATCAAAGAACTTGATCAAAGTTATATAGTTTGTAATTGGTGGAGCTGGAATTGAACCCAGTCTTGACTCCAGAGCTTATGTTCTTAACCACAGGCATTAATACCTCCTTGAGCTGCCAGATACAGTGTGATTATGACCATTTTAATTTAGCCCAAGTGTTACAATGGAAGAAGTTCATGTTAGCTACTATTGTCATTTGTTGTAGGTCTTTTGAGTTTGTAGGTGTTTATAATATTTTGTCTTTTATGTTCACATGAGATAGTAAGATAACTGAAGCATTTAATTCCAGGAGAATCTTAAGCTACATGAAAACCCCCTTGCAAAGAAAACATGTATAAATGTGAAGAATTAATTTTAAAAAGTGTGATGCTGATTATTTACTATGAAAGTGCTCCAAGTGGGTGTTCAGAAGAACTGTCTCAGTCTGAAGTGTCATTCATCTCAAGCCATAATTGTAGTTAAAGGATAATCTGACAGGTAATGCTTGAGTGAGTTGAACCCACAATACCAAATCACTCTTGATTCTCTTCTAATGTGAGGCAGAAATAATATGAACAATTCTATGAATTGTCATTAATTTTATTTTACACAATTGTTCCAGATTTTTTCTTTATCAGATCTTCTGTCCAGCACTTAAAAATAGGAGCAAAGATTAGTTTCTAATTTTTACTTACATTTATAAAAAAAGAACATTCCTAGGATTCTGTGGTAAAAAAATAGCCAAAAGGCAAGAGGGAGGAAAATAAATGGATGATTTGGCTAAATCATACAGTTGGCTCTGTGTTCCTCCACTCAGTACTGAGGATTTCATTCTGTGGTTGGTTGAATCCGAGGATGCAGAACTGCTGATACCGGGGGCTGACTATGGGACTTGAGCATCTTCAGATTTTGGTATCTGTGGTGGGTCCTGGAACCAACTCCCCTCAGATACCAAGGGACAAATATACACTGAAAAATCAGTGGCTCAGTTTTCAAAGGTTTTGTTATTTATTTTATTTTTTTATTTTTGCGGTACGCGGGCCTCTCACTGTTGTGGCCTCTCCCGTCGCGGAGCACAGGCTCTGGACGCGCTGGCTCAGCAGCCATGGCTCATGGGCCCAGCTGCTCCGCGGCATGTGGGATCTTCCCGGACCGGGGCACGAACCCGTGTCCCCTGCATCGGCAGGCGGACTCTCAACCACTGCGCCACCAGGGAAGCCCTGTTATTGTTTTTAAAGAGTTTTTTGTTATTTATTTTGTTTTAAATAAGATTATTTCTTCAGTTTTTTGGCCTGAAAGATCAGCCTCTTATTGACAGGTAAACTTTCATTCATTCATTCATTCATTCATTCATTTATTTATTTATTATTTGCAGTACGCGGGCCTCTCACTGTTGTGGCCTCTCCCGTTGCGGAGCACAGGCTCCGGACGTGCAGGCTCAGCGGCCATGGCTCACGGGCCCAGCCGCTCCGCGGCACGTGGGACCTTCCAGGACTGGGGCACGAACCCGTGTCCTCTGCATTGGCAGGCGGACTCTCAACCACTGCTCCACCAGGGAAGCCCTCATTTATTTTTATATAAAGATCTTGGAGATTTGATGGAACTTGTCATTCTAATCCTTATGGCAATTGATTACTTGAAAAGCTGGAAGTAATATAACCAGTTATTGGTCTTAAATTTTTAAAGGTAGAAGTGGTCCTACTTGAGAGATGTTTGGAAAATGTCTTAGAAAGTGTCTGTTATGTGGTAGTTCAACAATCAGTTGCATACTAATCTATTTTTGAAAAATGTTATCTGTGAAATATGTGCATTCCCACTGTGTGGAAATTATTAAGCCAGGCCTATGGCAGCGGAGTACGTGCAAATTTTACAAAGGGTTTTGTAAATATTCAAATGCCAGCTGTTTCGTTATGTTATTGGTGGGGATGAAAAGAAAGACATTTGTGATTTTAATTGTGATCAGGCCACTTCTCATTATTGGCAACCCTTGGTATAGTTGACCATGAGCCTTCACTTTTATGTTGTATTTCTAGGATAAGATAAATGTAGTACTTAAAGGTATTTGTATATAGATTTAGGTGTGTGAAATAATTTTTTCTGTAAGAAATTGTGTGTATTTATGTGCCTATTTCACTTTTGAAATCTGAATAAATTTATGGATTGGGCGACAGAATACAGGCAATTCTTGGGTTTACAGGAAGTCTTTTTCCTCCAGAGCTTGAATGTTCTCTTGGACATTGGCAGAAGCTGTTAAAATGGGTTAAGCCATTGGAAAATGATGTATAGCTCTTCCTTTAGGAATATTGAATATAGCAGGGCAGTAAAAGGAGTGTCTAAGTAGGATCTCTATGTACATGTATCCTAATGCTTGTTTTATTGGCTTGCTAGCTGACATGCAGGATGATTAATCTCCATAGCTCTTCATCTGTAAAATAGAAGTAAGTTTAAAAGATACTGATAAAGCCTGCAGTTCTGGAGGAGATAACATGGTTATAACAGCGGTTCTTAAAAGACAGTAAACTAAAAGCTCTTTGGGGGTCTTTGTTAATTTTTAAGTGTTTTAGGAGTGTAAAGAGGTCCTGAGACTAGAAGTTTGAGAACTGCTGGTTGTAGAGGAATGAATGCTTAACTCGAGCCAAACCTGGGTGTTCTAGTTACAGCTCTGTTGCTCAACTGATTGTTGTGGACAAATCATTCATCTTTTTAGGCCTCTGCTTTGTCATTTACAGAATGAACTTGTACTAGATAGTCTACAAAGTTATTAAAAACATAATCCTGGTTATGTTAGTGTCGATCATTTTTTGACTTTGTTTGCCTTTTTGGGGGTAGGGAGAAGAAGTGATGAGGGAAAGTTTCTTTGTTCAATGTATGCATATCTTTTTTGCCTTGAAGC